GTGTGTGTGTGTGTGTGTGTGTGTGTGTGTGTGTGTGTGTGTGTGTGCGCGCGTATTTGTTTTTACTACAGAGTGAGGACCATTTGCACCATGGTTGCTATCAAAGTGAGGTCTTTGTTGTAAAGTGGGGACTTCTTCAATGTCCTCACTTTGTTTGCAGCTCTACTGTGCTTTACTAGTTAGGTTTCGAGGTATGGTGTGAATTAATTTCTGGTTCAGGTTAGGAATAAACTGGTAATTGTTAGTTTTAGGTAAAACATCTGGGTTAGGCATAAATGCAGTTACAAAAACAAATGGAAGTCATTACAATGTCCTCAGTTTGATGCAAATACAAGGATGGGTGTGTGTGTGCCCGTCCGTCCTTGTTTTTCCTACATCGTGGGGCCCAGTTTTAAGGAAAACGCAGCCTCGTGGGGTCCAGGTGCTCCTTGGGCCCCACAACTTCAGAGGCTGATTTTGGGTGTGGGGGTTGGATTTAGGACCAAGGTGTGAATTGAGTTTAGGCTAGTTTTAGGCTCAGTAAGGTACCTGTGAGGTTAGCCTTAGGGTTTGTGGTCAGGGTTAGGATATAAAATTACCAAAACTTCCAAAAATGGAAGTCAATGGACGGGCCCCACAAGGATATAAAAACAAGTTTGTGTGTGTGTCTGTGCGTGCCCTTGTTTTTGCTACTTGGTGGGGACGATTTTTCAGGAAAATGCAGCCTGGTCCCCACGACTTTGGAGGCTGATTTTGGGTGGGGGTTWGGTTTAGGACCCAGGTGTRAATAGAGTTTACCTGTGATAATGTGATAATTTTAGGGTAAATGGTCAAGGTTAGGATATAAAATTACCAAAACATGAATGGAAGTCAATGGAAAGTCCCCACAAGGATAGAGAGAGACATAGTAGGTGYGTGTGAAGACAGACCTTGTAGATGTGAGCTTTCAGGATGTGATGTCCCAGCTCCAGAGTCTGTTGTCGGTTCAGTTTCCCCTCCTGTCTGCAGAGCCAGAAGGCCAGGAGAGTGTGTCCACTCCTGGAGACAGAGAAACAGACATGTCCCTCTTATTTCAGATTATTTTCTGTGCGAGTCTGTGTGAAACATTCCACAATCATTCAACACCCAGACACAAAAAAAAAAAAACAACAACTCCATGACATGACTGCTTCCGGAGACATGCGAATGCCCTCCACTCATGGTCTGCTCTGTTAGATCAATAATATCACAGAATGATACACAAACTCAAAAAATCAGAAGAAGGAAGAAAGTGAATGACATTGCATCTGTTACTTTGTAAAGACATCATTATTTCTTGTGTCTGTGTGTTTATCTGTTAGCAAAAATTTAAAATTTATTGACATTTTCAGAAAGTAATCCTTCGATGTATATTATGTAGAAATAAATAACTTTTAGAGGAGCAGGTCAACATGTCAAGCTAAACAAAATGATTTTTTCCCAAAGCAAATGTTTTTTTTATATTTAACAGTATACAATATTATCACAAAAGTTTAAAACACAAAGCATCTGGATTTGAAAATGTTTTCCATCCAGGAAGTTTTCTCAATTTAAATTAGATTCAAGCTTGAAGCTGCAGGAGCTTTGAGCTCCAAACTCTTCAGAATGAGAGACTCCTGATTGGAAGGGAAACATCTTCAACTACAGAAGCTTTCTTTTTTTTTTTTTTGGATTTGCCGTGTCCTGGAGGACTGAGATTCAACACCAGCAGTTGACAAAGACTCAACTTTTAGAGTAAACCTGATTCATGATGGCCGCCTGCGTCAACTCATTATAAAAAAATTCAAAATCACACAGAACTGGCCAGTTTTACAGATATTAAAGGAGAAATTAAATTAAATCTCCAAAAGTTGATATAGCATAAATATCCTAATGTTAGTAAAACACTTATATAACACATCCTAGGTGTCCTTTTTAAAATATATATTACTTGAATAACTTGTTTTTCACATTTTTATCTCTAAATGACGAAGTGTAGTGATTTTGGGGAGGAGTTACTGTCCTAGGTGATGATGCATATTGTGCCACAGTTACCTTCCAAACAAAGTGAAGAACCTACAACCTGGTTACTCTTCTCGTGTTTATCATTTAAAATGTAAGAAGAGGACATTTTTGAATTTGAAGAAATGCAAGAACACTACGTGGGAGTAAAGCATTCACAACCATATCAGTATGAATCTGAACCAACAGCTAGATCTCAGGATTCAGATGAAAATTACTCAGATTCTGACGATGAGGACGATCATGGCTGACAAGACTACAGGCCTAATGACAGAGATGGGAACGTGGAATGATAAGAACCAATTACCCTCCAGAACATTGTAATTTTTAATGTAGTTTGATAATTTTGTGCATTAATCTGAATTTCTATTCTGAAAATATGAATAGCGATGCTAGTATTTTTCATATGTTCATATGTATGCTAACCATTAGCATGCGGTGGCTAACAGATTCATATTGTTTGTGTTGAGGCACAGTTATGTTTATATGTGACC